TCTCTCTATAGTTTTAGAACCCGATGAAGAACAGGCTGTCGAAAAGAATATTCTTTCCTCAATAGTAATCAGTCTTTTTGAAACTTCTGATGGGCAAATTTGATCAACATGACGTCGAAGGAATTCGGATCTTCGACAAGATGAAACAATAGCTAGTACAATGATTGATGCAAGCCTCCATATAGATAGCCCTCAGTTTTCGACATGTTTACATTGGAAAATGTTGGCTTAGGTATATTCATTGATTGTTGAATGCTTTTTTACACACATGTGACCATTTCTATTTCTATTTCGCAATTTTTTGGTGAGTTATAAGTAGAAAAGGAAACTATGAAATAGGAGACTTGATTTTATTTTTAGTTGAAAATGATTTATGTGTATCAAGGGAGATTTATTTCCCTGCTATCTGTCAACATTTGTTCCCCTTCCTTATGATTTCAAGTTAGAATTGAGACACTTGAAACAGTATGTATGTATGTATACACTCAAGTCAGATTGAAATGATGAAATCAGACACGCACATGAAAAAAACAGACACTAATCCACTACTACTGACTGCTGTCAAGATCGTCACGATCATCATCGATTTAATCTGTTGAAATATATACACATCCAGTTCATTGAAAGTTTTTGACTGATCAGAATTTATAGTTTCTTGAGCAGTCGTATTGAAATTTATGGACGTTTATATGACAGAAAACTGTGCTTGATATTGGAATGCTATAATCAATAAGAGAGATTGAAACATAGATTTGTAGCTCAAGTGAACGATTCTGAATGAGTTGTGTTCACTATCTGAGCTGGTTGATTTAATTGCGAGTTTAACTTGAATTCTCCATGAACGATGATGTAATTGTGTCTCCCGACAACTACTTACTATCTTGATTGGTTGTTAATTTACATCTCTATTGTTCTTATTTTTATTGACTTGGAATTAATGTCATGTCTTTTTACAGCTAATTTGTGTGCATAAATTCGTATCCGAAGGGGATGTCCACTTCAACCGATGTAATGTTTATTGCAGTTCATGCATGCAATTTATTTTGTAGACGGCATTTTCGACGAGTTGATCAAGGATTGATATCAATGAGAGAACTATTGAAAACCAAGCACTTAAGTACTGTCAGACAGCTGTTTTATCCTAGTTCAAGGAATCATCGGCAGTACGCGCACACCACCACGGTTTGAACCCTGGAGCATGCGCTTACAAGGCAAGTAAGCTCGTATACCATTTAGCTACTGGGACCTGATTACTTAATGGCCACTCCATGAATTCTAACTGCTACCAATTCGTGATTTTGCGTGACCTTAACCAATGTCATCGGTGAGACATTCATCCTCAATAATCATTACAAACTAAACTATAAAAATTAATCTGATGCTCGCTAGTGACTTACTACAGGATGGAGTTTCCTGGAGTCCTAGTGAGACGTCGTGACCAGTGAGGTCCAACTAGATGTCACGTGTAAGGATGGATGTCTCACTGACGACATCGGGTGGGGTCACGCTAAATCACGGAATGGTAGAAGTTAGAATTCATGGAATGGCCATTAAGGAATCATGTCCCAGTGGCTGAATGGTATACGAGCTTATTTGCCTTGTAAGCGCATGCTCCAGGGTTCGAACCGTGGTGGTGTGCGCGTACTGTCGATGATTCCTTGAACTAGGATGAAACAACTGTCTGGCAGTACTCCAGTGCTCGTTTTTCAATAGTTCTCTAACTGATATCAATCCATGATCAGCTCGTAAATAACGTAACTAACCCTTACAAACCAAACTGTGGTAAAGTAAATAGTATTAGTTTTGTCTTCTTTTCCTGTTAGATCTTTTGGTTTGGACAATATCGAATAAAGTGATTGAGCCGACTTGTATGGGTAGTTTTTATCTACCCTTTTCGAGTCTGCACCTCTCTTCAAAACTCTCCGCTTACTTTGACTGTTTTATTCACAATTATCACGACAAACTGCTTCATTCTATCCAGCAATTATATTAACAGTGGCTCTTTCCAATTGATTGGGTCTCAGCAAACAAGACGCATAAAAGTGCACAGTTTAGGTCGTCAGAATACGGGAAAAACGTCTCACACAAACAGAGAAAAGAAATTTGAGAAAATTATGATAAAAAAGGATTTTAATAATAATAATGATAACAATAGCTTTATTATCCACAATAAGTCTACAAAATATGCACAATTTTCAGAGTAGTTTATTGCATAATATTTACCATTCATCCTAAAGTTTCTAGTAAAACAGCTATCTGCAGTATATTATGTGATGTAGGAATGTTAGATCTGAAGAATAAAGTAACCCACTACAGTATTTTTGGTCGACGGATTTCATCATGAGCTGACATCATGACAAGTCTGAGATTACTGGACACCTGTTTCGTCCCTGTTTGGGAATCTTCATCTGTATTTCTTTTTGGTCACACAGAAGCGCTCAACGAAAAGCTGCAAACGGATTAAAAATGTCTATGTGGGTACATTTGGAAACCTACAAATATAAGTGAATGATTATAACAACAAGAACAAAAGAAAATAGAAAGCATTGTCTCATATGTAAATTCAGATAGCCCAGAGATTCAAGTAGAGCGCCGATCTCCTGGAGAGACAGTGGTCAAATGAGTATTAAGGCTTTCTCCTTATCTAATACCCTGAGCCTAATCTCACTTTTATTGATCGCATTGTTACCCCTAATATGAGAAGTTTAAGGAAGGAGCATATAACTTAAAATACACTTGGTCTGATAATATCCCCTATCCCATAAGGCCATAACTCACGGTTTTGAAAAAATATGCAGTCTACTGCTAAACACTACACATATCCCTTAATAAATAGCTGCATATCACCCCTGTGCAAGAGATAGTCATATTCGGCAAACAGAAGATTGACTTTCCTTAACGAAGTCAAGATTTTGTCAGCAATGAGTTCATCTTATCAGGCTGCAAGAGTTTGAAAGCGTCTTTTCGGTCAGGAAAGTATACTTTTCAACTCTCGCTTCGCATGCAGATATTACTATCTATTTTACTTTTTTTTATTTTTTATTTGCAGCTTGATTCCACACTGTATTTTCGATACAAGTATGGAATTTTCAGCATGGATATCGGTAGCCCGAATTTTGCAGGCCGACCATAAATATCGGGTGTGCGTAAACGCGGGCTCGGACCCAGGACCATGTGCATGGTCGGCGAGAGTCCTAACCACTGTGCCACCGACGCACCACATTGCCTCTCTTGCAATAAGTGTAGCTGAAATATTTTCGAAACTGAAACTCACCAAACACTCTACCTCAAAGCAAGTTAACAATATAACTTGCCTTCCAAGGGTGAACACCGTACTATGCTTACACTATTATTAGACAGCGTCAAGACCCTTGCTCTCATGGTTCTCATCCAACTGCAAGCAACTTTCCCTATGATGCTGGTTTGCATGACTTATCCAACCTTTTGGTGTCGTAGGACTTGCAGGAACGTCTCTGCTTATCAGCAGAGCTGCTCAAGCCATTAATATATTCAAACCTAACAAACACACCAAGCTGACACCTTTCAAATTCTGCTCACTCAAACATTGATCTGTGGCAGCTTATTGACAATTTATAAAAAATTACTCCTTATATAAGTCTAAAGCCTTGATACGTGCTTCGCTGTCAACTGAATCAGTCTCTTCTGATCAAATGATTTAGAGAAATATTAGTCTGCAGGAAGATGAATCATTGACAGCCTTATGTAATCTTCTGCTTTGAAGTTGTGGATAATGATTTCATTTCGATTAGTGACAACTCGTTTACATTCGGGAGTGAATGCAAGCAGAACCCCGAAACTACCTATAATCGATTCAAAGAAAAAATATAAAAATACAAAAAATATTGAGCAAAGAATACTCCTTTCGATAATTCCCTCTTCCCGCTCAGCAATTATATGCATCCTAATGCACACAGAATATTCGAGAAAAATTGCTATTACCAATATTGGTAATTCGTTTAAATACTATCGGTTTTTGGAGATCACAGAATGAAATGACTATAGTTCAAGAAGGACGCTTAACTTGTAACAAGCGTAAAAATATATTAGTCAATAGGATATTATATAAAATTAAGAAGATCGTCACAACAGATTAAGGATCATTAAAGCCTTGACGGTTAGTAGTCTAGGAAAAGGGTCAAAGCCAATTTCTTCACTTGGATACATAAATTAAGTTTCTTAATGTAGATCATGACAGCCTCAGCAGTGTGTAGTAGACTAACTCCTAAGGTAAAATTAAGATTAGTTGGTATGCGGTAGATGAACTTGAAAGCAGCCTCGTTTACATCAATTTTGTCTCGACCTCACTCAACCACAGTGCAGGACGGTATCGGAAAATTCAACCGAAAAGACGCCTAACTGTATAGCCTGTGCTACTTACTGGCTCCACAGGAGCATTCAAAATGATAGAGATACATTGATGGAAGAGACGAAATTTGGTAGTTTATCTTCAACCCACTGAAGACGAAATTGAAGGTTGCTTCTGATGAGGCAGCATACTTCGGCAGCAGTGAATGCGCCTCATTTTACCACTGTATACCTAAGGCCTTGTGTTATTTTCTCACTAATGTTATCATCACCGAGGAAGGGAAGTTGTAAGAAACAGGGCCTTCGTTCCTCTGTACTGTTGATTGGCACTTTGATCTGCCTTGACTTTTGATTCATATTCTTATCACAATTAATTTTTCTGGGTAACCATTCTCACTCAGCAACTATTTACTAATATAAAGCTCTTCACTAAGGCACTCATCAGATCAGGTTGCTCTTGCTCTACGGTCAATCAAGAACTTTATTAGATTGCGTTTGTATTTCAAAGGCACGAAGCTGAAAAAATAAGTATATTGACCAGTTGATGTAGTTTTTTCTACATACAATTCTTATTATCGTACTGTCCACTTTTCACCGAACATTTTGTATACATTTAAGCTGTTAGTATTCAGTCAAACATTTCTGTTTTATTTTTTATTCATATCACCTTTTAGCACAGAAATGTTTGGATGCAGTTGTCCACATAATACTGGCATGTTAGCATCGATTCCAAGCGTGAATTTTCTCAAAAAGAATCAAAGCCAGTCACGGGATAGTCAGAATCAATCAAATGTTGAAAGTCATGATACTAAGGATGCAAAGATTCATGCATTAGTACCACAGAGTTTCCAGGAACTTCCACAATGGTATTTTTGTAAAGCAATTATAGGTAAGTTTGTAAGGCAAGGGGTATTATATCCTTCATGAATTGGCTTATTTTAACTGATTAATTAAATTTGTGTTCCGTTTAGTTAAGAACACACGATGTCAAAGCGATTTTTGATGAATCTGTTGGCGATGTTTTACCTTCACAAGAAATGTACCTCTAAACTAAAACCGAAATACAAGTGAGAAACCAATTAGCGAATTAGTATGGAAGCGGAGTTATTGTATTTTAACAGGATACCACCAAGAGAACTAGTCTTATCACAGCTATTGCAGCCTATATTATTAACCTGTAACACATAATATCGGTTACTCTACAATGTGAAGGCATTCACGTTACTTGAATGGGAACCATTTATGTGAGTAAAAAATAAAGTTTAAGGTGTGTGATGGTGTTTGAAATGACATTGAAAGCTATTCAACTGAATCATGGAGTTAAATGAACCCTAACCATACCACAATTTTTATTATTTCTAAATTTACCTCTTACTGTATATTATCATTATTCCCTTGGGATCCTAATGGAATGTACAGCTTGAAATAGAGCACCTTCACTTTGTTCTATTTTGTGCTGTCCTCTTCACGTCAGTCCATAACTGCTCAAAATCTCTCATGTCCTACTCCTTCCACAAAATACCAGCTCCTCCATGTCACCGTAGTAATGACGAACCAATCATCGACCCCCATCGACATTCCCTTCAAGTGGCAGCCTGGCGGACGATGTCATTCGACAGCTTCATCAGTGGCGCATGCCCAATCAGTCTCAAATATGAGAATACAATATTCAGTGAACAAACTCTCTTCCACAATGAATTTATTATCAAGCTGTACGATCCTATGTATATGGTTTTCTAAGAAATTATATCCTGTGAGAGAATTACGTCAAAATTGTGAACACATGAAATAATAACAGCATGAAATGCAATTAAAATGTTTGTGATTATGTGATCATGGTTAAATGTCAAGCGGCAAAACAGTTAATGTCATATACATAGTAATTCAAAAGATGTATAGACGCTAGAAACGGGTGTATAATTATAGGGTTAGTAGGCTTATATAAAATGTTACATAGGATGGTGTGAAATTCGTTAAGACAGAATCCAATATTATAAAAAAGAAAATTTGGATCTAGAATGACGAGTGGGGCAGAGTGAGAATGGTAATAATAAAAATAATCGTAATAATGAGGGAGACGTACATAGATTAACTAAATAAACAAAATAAATGTCGATACTTCTTCGGCCAAGCCAGAAGTAGGGATTGTACATGCATCTTTCGAACACAAAGGTCTGGCTGGCTTAAATTCATAAATGGCCAAAGCCTACGCTGTCTTTAGAAGTTTAAAAAAAAGAAAACGCGGCAAGTTAGCGTGGATTCTGTAGATGATCTTAATATCATTGTCAAAGTTGGCAAAGTGACAGAAAAAAATCAGGTGTTCTAGAATAAAAAATTTCTCACATACTTCCTTTTGCTCTTGTAAAACCATGCTGGAATATGTTCCCGTATGCTTGAGTGGAAACCGTGGTCTAGCTACGGCCAAAATACCTTGCTTCACAACAGCAGGTGAACTGTTAGATGCACATGAAGGCGGCCAGACGGGAGAGCCTACCTTTTACACAGATGCAGAGCAACTTGTGGTTGGTGGACGTACATTGTAAATTTGTAGCAAAGAATCTCTTAATGAGTGGTTTAGAGGGATAGTTTTTGAGCATATATGAAGCTTGATCACCTTTGATTTCTAAAGTCATGAATACGGTTTTCTATGTAACTGAGTCGGTGATCAGTTTAGACTGCTTGTCTTTCGTGTTACCGTGAATAAATCGGTTCTGGTAACCGTTTTCTGCGATCATGGATTTTAGAGCGGCAGAGTGTGAGTCGACATTATCAGAATTACAAATATTTCTTATACTAAAGCAAAGCGAATGAATTCGGTTCCTTTTCCTGGAGATAGGCACCCAACTATAAATATTAGTTAGTTGTCCAATCCATTTTTACGCTTCCGATGGATGGATCTTTTGAGAGATCCGTCACTACGTCTACTAAGGGACGTATCAAGAAACAGATTCGTTTTCTATACCGAATTGTAAAGAAGGATGGCAGTTGTTGAACGCAAATAAGAAATCATCGAGAATTACATTCTTATCGCAGATAACGAAAACGTCCTCTTCTCATCTCATATAAACGTCAAAATGACCGATGGTTTGACTAAGTTGAGAGTTTTCAAGATTTACCATAAATCAATCAGCCGGCAAAGGACCCATTGGTGATGCAATCGTAATGGCATATATTTGTCTGAAATTCTCATTATTGAATGTTGTTATGTACTTGTCGAGTAGTTAATAGTCCTGACGCGGAATGAGAGAAATCAGAAGACCACCAGGTTTACGATGATACTTGTACTTTCCAGATAAGGAAAATAAATGTCACACAAGAGTGTGAGTGAAATGGTACGCAGCCTACGAAAAAGTGTGTGTGTGTACAAGAATAATAAAGCAAGAGCATATATGAAAATGGCTAATACACATGAACCAATAAATAACCAGTCTTAACATGATTGGTTGTAATGTCATGTGACAACAAGGTCGTACATATTTATTTAGTTATTGGGCAGACAAAAGCATATTGTCAGTTATAATGAAATATCGATCCATATACACATAGCAATATATAATAGACTGTCACAGACAAAACACACATCATGTGGAGACATATCAAAGTTGAAATGAACACTCAACGTACATCTCGACAAAAGTTCTTTACGGTGGATTGTCGGCAATCCTATTTCTAAACTATGTGTATCAGTATAATCACATATATAGCAAAATGTTTTCATGAGACGTACACTGGTAAATGGCGACATCATATCTCGTTTTTTTCTTACATATTTTTTGAGCGACTGGCTCCCGTTTGACTTGTTTATCGCTAGAGTTTCTTGGTACTAGTAATTCTTAGTGTATCTTGGTGTAATAGATGTTTGATGATTAAAAGTAACTTTATGTAACCTATTTGAGCGGAGGGGGAGGTTTGCCTTTCTTGAATTCGCCTGATTCATAAGTGCCCAGTCAAAAATTTAACAGATTATTTGGTTACTGTAAAATGACGTGAAGAGTGGAGACTTATAAGCATATATTTTCTGCATAAACTTCCGTCATATAATTTTGTAAAAACCTGGTTAATGAAGGTGAAGTGAGAGTAAAGTTGAAAATTAATGTAAGTGTAGAATTTAGGCATTATGGTAGGATGTAATTCTCTGTTATATAAATTTATTTTAAATGTCATACAGTGGTGAGGCAGTATTAACAACAGGATGACAAGCTTTCCAGAATAAATTATTGCTACTCATAATCATATATTAATTTTACCCACACAAGATCGAAGACTTACAAGCGAAATCCGACAAATTGGTCGAAGAAGCAGCCGGCGAAGACAGGAATTCATGTGAACAGAGAAAAGACGGAGGTTATGAAAATAACCGACCAACAACAGCAGCAATATCAAGCGCCAATCACCATCAACTTGACGGATTTGAAAGAGGTTACTTCATTCACTTATCTAGCATTGACCATTGTCTCAACTACAGACAGTCGGGACGGACGAGGATGTGAAATCGAGAATCGAATCGGGAAGGCGAGAAGCACATTCATCAACCTAAAATCAATCTGGAAATCTTCGCCACTCAGCATCAACAACAAAATTCGGTCGGATTTCTAATACAAACGTCAAGTCAGTCAGTCAGTTCTTCTATACGGAATGGATCAGAAACTTGTCAGGCGGGTGGGTCACAAAGAATATTTCCAACAGCCTGTTGCAGACCAACCTTTATCAACCAACAACTGTCTTCGCTGGATCTATATTGAAGATCAGATGGCCGGGCCAGAAAGAATCACCAACAAGAAACTATGGGAAGTAAATTGAAAGCAAGAACCAATCGTCAACCAACAAACATGCAGGAGAAAGTGGAGATGGATTGGACACTCACTGAAGAGACTGCTGGGTGACCTTGCGGGTCAGGCCATTGCTCGAGTGCAACCAGGCCGAAAGGGAAGCGGCGAGTGGGACGTCAGTGCAAGGGTGACATAGGGGAGATCGTGTGAAGAGGAGTTGAGACAGTATGGAATAACATGGATGCAGGTGAAAAGTACAGCAGTAGGCAGAAGCAAGTGGAGACGTGCAGTTGAAGCCCTATGTTCCATTAGGAACCCAAGGGAACAATAATAATAATAATTTTACTCACACAGTTTCATAGTTTGTTTTATATTTTTCACTATAAACTGATATTAGTTAGAGAAACATTGAAAAACCACCACTAGACAGGAAGCTGTTTCGTCAGCCTACTTCGGAACTTCTCACAAGTAGGCATCCATCTCACAGCAATGGTTCATATCCACGACCACCTTCCAGGTATAAGGTGGGCATGCTCTTAGACTCTTCATTCATCCACTGGGACTCGCCAATCCGATGACCATGAATTCAATCTTCTGGCAATGCAGACACGATAAAGCACGACTGGCACTAACCGAGGTCATAACTAGCGAGTATTTGTCCTCACACGTGATCTGCAGTTATCTCACTGGTTATTGACTAGTGACTAGGAGTGAAATCAAACGCCCACATTTATTTCCTGTTTTGGTAATGGTTATCTAAATATGCGAGCATCTCCACTGGAATTCAAACACCGAAGTGTTACACGATATTGTCACCTAGCTACAAGAACCATACTTAGTGCAACTAGTACAACATAAAACTTTAGATGGACGTAGAATAATTGACTTGGCTAAGTCAAATGACCAGCCATTGCATTGCATTCGCTGGCATGTAATCAGATACACCGTAGGTTTGGTGGGACACGGTGAACATATTAAAAAGTAATATAGTAGGAGACAAAGAAAGTCTAATCACTGTAACATCGTTTATCGATTCAACACTGAACACGTGAAACAATCGAGATGACACAACGCCTATACCGGAGAAATGGAAAGCGGCAACAAACAACATGGCGAAGTT